GTGAATGATGTGAAATGCGCAGCTCTCCAATGCACGTGAAGTAAGATATAAAGGAAGGAAAGTGCAGAATGGGCAATATTAGTGTCATTAGTTCTGCCAGACGAATTATCGAAGAAAGTTGGTTTTTGTCCCGGTGGAAACGTGTAATAGGAGAGAATGCCAGGCCGCCGTCAACGAAGGCACTACCAGCAGATAGACGATTTTACGAGGGGTATGGTTATCAGACTGAAAAGGGCGGGTTGGTCCTTACGTCAAATCGCAGCTGATACCCACATGGATGCGAGCACGGTGCATCGGCTATGGTGAACATGGTTGGAACAAGAAATCTGGGAAGAAGGAGGGGTGCAGTCAGAATGACGTCAGCACGCGTGGATCGACGTATCAGCCGACAAGCTTTCGCGGTCCCGCAAGTCACTTATACCGTGATTCTGCAGCATGTGCAAGATACCCTGGATGTTCTCGTGTCGACTAGAACTATTTCTTGTTGATTGGTTATTTTCAATATGGCTATAACTGCATTATCTGCACTCACGGTGTCCGTTAAGAAGACTGCCATTGACCCCACAGCATAGATGCCAACATTTAGAATGGTGCCGGACTGGAGTGATGTGGAGGTAGAATGAAGAAAAGCCGTAGTTTCAGATGAGTCACGCTTCTGTTTATCCAGTGACAGTCGGCGCATACGTGTGTGGCGTCGACGTGGGGACATATCTAATCCGGCAGTAACTGTGGAATGCCCCACCGCGTGACAATGTGGCATAATGGTTTGGGGCGCTATTTTGCCTACGATTTCAAGTCACCTCTAGTTCGTATTCAGGGCACTATGGCGGCCCAACGATACTTGGGTAATGTACTGCGGCCGGTGGCAATCCTCTACCTTCAGGGGCTGCCTAATGCAATTTTTCAGCAGGATAACGCCCGACCACACAGTGCTCGCATCTGCCAACATGCTCTGCAAGGTATACAGATGCTTCCCTGGCCACCGTACTCTGCTGACCTGTCACCAATCGAACATGTGTGGGATGTGAATGGATGCCATTTGCAGACTCTGTCCCTGCCTCGTTCAGAAGACAAACTGTGGCAAATGGTTGAAAGGAAATGGAGAGCCATTCGTCAGGACACCATCCACACTCTTATTGACTCTATGCCTAGACGTGTTTCTTCTTGCATCGCTGTCCGCGGTGGTCCTACATCCTACTGAGCCAGAGCCGGTTTGGACAGTCGACCTGTAAAGGCCACGCTGCGTTGCGCTCATGCTATTTTTCGATTTTTCAAGTGGAAGTTTCACAGTGCGAAGTGCGTGTGATAAATCAAATTGTGCGTGAATGTGTGCTGAATCCAAGGATACATCGCATTAGTATGTGTGCATCTCGTAGTTTTCAAAAAAAATTTTGTGAAAAAGTGTGTTTTCAATAATTTTGTTCACCTCATATGCCGTCCTTGTAACGGAAGGGTGCCGCCCGGCCACCACGTGGTTGCCGTACTAGGCTTAGGAAGTACCGTCGAAAAAAATTCTAAGTCCAGAAATCTGTGATTTCTTTTCAAAAATCAATATCTTCGTAATTAATGCACTTAGGATTACCGGGTTTTCGGCAAATTGGTAAGTTCTTCATATATACTATTATATTATATTTTCAATATGGCTATAACTGCTGCATTATCTTCGATATTAGTATTTTAAGACTAACCTTTTCTGGAACCTAGCTAAAATCTGGACCCAAATAAACTTAATTTTCTGATTGCTGTCTGAAACTTTATAAAAATATGCTAGTAACCCCAAAGGGTCTGTTCATTGGGCTCGGAATACTAGTTTAAACATGATACTTGATTTTGTCGAAACGTTGTGGATTTCGACACAACTCCTTCACGTCGTCGAGTGCAATTTCGACAAACTCCTTACAGTGTATTCTCCATAGTTTTTAAGACTGTTTACTGTTATTTTAACTGTGTTATATCTTTCTGAGCCTTTTCTGTGTGCCTTTACATATCGTATACATATTTTTGATTGATTTATATATATTTTTATAATAATATATTATTTCTCTGTTTATATTGAACATTCATTATGTTTTTACTGATATAAAGCATATTAACGTCGTCATTTGTAATTATATTATACCAGTCTGTTTCTTATGGGAAATTAATTACCTAGTGTGAGCTTATGTAATATTCACGCATCGCTATGCCCAACAATCAGTTTCGTTTACGGATGACCCAGTGAATGACAACTTTGATCCCACTGCATTGCTTGCAACTGATAACAATTATAGTGACAAAGTTAATTTGTTATACGATCATATTCGTGCCATTGCAACACTCTCTATCGAGGAGGAAAGTATACACTTCCTTTCGAACCACGAGAAAAATTGCTCCATTCATTGGATGCGTTATGGCAATTGGTCTTCAGGGCCCGGATTACATCCCGAAAACCAGCCACAGTTTGAGGCTGAGGTGAATACATCAACAGTGGTCTGCTGTGAAGTTATTCATAACCCACCTATTATTTCATCTCTGCAGCAAGTTCCTTTAGTTCCAAATCCCCCTGCTTTGCCTTCTCCAGCTCCTGGACACTTACGCATCTGCATTACAGCAATCCCTTCCGCCAGCTCTTACACCTACTTTACTAATGTATCCAAAAGAGAACACAACTAGCAGGAAGCTTAGAGATAAACTTTCCCAGGAATTTCCTTTGCCGAAACTAGGAAAGTTAAACGGAACAAACCTATCCAACGGGGTGGATTGGCGGTCGTCTGCCAGTCGGAAGAAGATCGGAAAAAATTAGCAGCTACTTTAACGTCTGATCACGCAGCTACATTTGTTGACGTAAAGAATCCCACAACAAAAAAAACCCTTATTGCAATTCATAATTTATCCCCAGATCTGACACAGGAGGATTTACAGCTTACCATACAAGAAGACTTTGGCCTCACTAGTTAAACTTATATTTCGTCTAAAGCAGCGACGCAATGTCAAGTGGTTTGCCGAGTGCAGCCCAAGGGCATATCAAACCTTCATGTGCAACCCTCGCATCTACATCGGCTGGGAAGGCCACCTTATCACTGAGCACGTTAATGTCAAAAGATGTTTCAAGTGCCAACGTTTTGGGCACCTGCAAAAAGACTGCCCCAGCGTCCACTATTGCGCATTGTGTGCTGGACAACACGATACCAAGGACTGTTCGGCCGATGTCGATACAGCAGCATGCATCAATTGCATCGATTATAACAACGGCAGCAGATATCAAGTCCCGATTGACCACGCAGCAAACTCCAACACCTGTTACTGCTACCAAAGTAATATTGACAGAATCCGAAGCATCACCACCTATGAGTAGAGATGCTCAGTATAATGTTTCATGTAATTCTGTTCCTAACATCAAATTCTTGCAAATTAATCTTCAGAAAGCTCAAGTTGCAACTGCCCAGGCAATAGAGTTTGCGATAAGCAACAAAATTGATTTTCTTCTCGTTCAAGAGCCATATACTAGACATGGCAAACTGGTTGGTTTTCCTTTATTATGGACTGTATATCATCAAGAAAATTCAGAAGATCCTCCACGCTCAGCAATAATTAATTGTAACCCTCTATTCTCTCCATCAATTATTACTATTACTAAAGATCAAATAGCACTTTTATTAGAATTAGAAAATTTTACTATAGCATTATTTTCGATCTACTCCAGTCCCTCAGATGATATCAACACTACAATCTCTTTCCTGGAACACTATACAAGAGTTCTTGGTAATAAACATCAGATTATCAGCGGCGATTTTAACGCTCACTCTGTTGCTTGGGGCTATCGAACAACAGACCTCAAAGGCCGTCTGTTAGAAGACTTCTTATCTTCTAAAAATTATGTATTACTCAATGCCACGAATACAATTCCTACTTTCGACATACTATATGCTGTAGGTTGGCCGGACCTGACCTTTACATCCGCCAATACCTCTCACTTAACAAGTAATTGGAAGGTCAGAGATGAGATTTCATTATCTGTCCATAAATATATCACTTTTGAAGTAACACAACATAGTTCTTTACCTATCTTACCTCGTTATAATCTTCCTGGCAGGAAAATTAATCAGTTTAGTCGAAAAGTTCGTGGAACTCTTAATCGTCTTCGTCACCAAATCAACTCTTTAACCATATCTGAAGATATTGAACGTTTTTTCAGAGTCCTTAATGCAAAATCTTCAAGATATTTGTCACGAAATACTTCCAAAGCGAACTACCAAGCAGCTCCATACTTTACATTGGTGGAACTCTGATCTTCGCATACAGCAGCGGAAGTGTCGTGCGCTTAGGCGACGATTAAAATCTGAACGACGCAATGGAATAACATCTAGTACTCTCTTCAAGTTTTTTCAAAGACAGCGTGCTCTATATAAACGGATGATTATGCAGAGCAAAATAGAAGCTTGGAGAAAATACTGCACATCAAATAGAGAAATATTTGGCTTACCATATGAGATCGCTCGAGATAAGCTTTTCCAGCCTGCATCAACGTATCTTTCAGAATCATCACTTGCTGGGTCTAGCCTAATAGAAAATACTATTAATGATATTCTAGCATCAGTTCTTCCTCAGGGTGATATTACAGATGACTCCCCAGAGCACTTGTCAATTAGGCAGCAAACTTCTATTCCTAACACAGAGGATGATCCACAGATTACAATTACAGAAATTAAAACCACTCTTCGAAATATTCCAAAAAAACGGGCCCCAGGCCCCGACGGGGTTGACTATTCTATAATTCGTTTAATCATTAATTCCCACATCTTTCTTCTGTGATTATTTTAATAAGTTATTTCTTAATGGTGTATTTCCTCGTATCTTCAAAGCTGGAAAGCGGTTCTTTTTCTCAAAAAAGGCAAAGATCCGCAATTATCCACATCGACCTATATGTCTATTATCTGCTCTGGGGAAAGTTTATGAAAGAATTATTGTCTACCGTTTAAAACATTATCTTCACAAAATTCACTTTTTAAGTGATCACCAATATGGCTTTAGACCAGGTAGGTCTACTCTACAAGTATTATCAAAAATTACAGAAGATATACATCGTAATCGCAACAATGGTCACCACAGTGCTTTCATCAGTATAGATCTTAAGAATGCTTTTGACTCACTGTGGTGGCCTGCAATACTGGAGGCACTTCGACAAGCTGATTGTCCTCAGAATTTATTTCTTGCATTTCAAAGTTACTTGTCGGAAAGAAAAATTATCTACTCCACTAATCATGGCATTATTACAAGACAACAAAACAGAGGCTGTCCGCAGGGTTCTTGTGCTGGCCCTGATTTATGGAATATAACATTTAATTCTGTTATTGCCGCAAACTGGCCAGCACATACCCGGGCATATGCGTATGCAGATGATACAGTTTTTATCATCATTCAAGGACGAACTCGAGAAGAGTTGCAAAGAAATGCTATTGAAACCTGTGATCTCTTTTATAACTTATGTTCTAGAATTAAATTAACAATTTCCGAACCAAAATCGCAAATTTTATTAATCCCTAAAAAAAGGAGGATCTTTGGTTCGACGGCCTCGAATCACCATTCATGGTACACGTATACCTATCAAACCGCAGCTCAAATTTCTCGGCGTTATCTTTGACGAGAAACTGAACTGGATGCCGCATGTTTTGGAACTAAAGAGACGAACTGTTATAATTGCATGTAAATTGCGTCAAATGCAGGGTCGTGGATGGGGAATTAGTCCCTATATACAAAAGGTTCTTTATCTCACCGTTATCGAGAGAATGGTCACCTATGCGGCTGCTATATGGGCTGAACCCATGCAGGGTCGCAAAGTGCGCCACTTGCAAAGTCTCCAGCGTCAATTTGCCTTACAGATAACTAGGGCGTTTCGTACTACCTCATCCAGTGCATTAAATGTCATGGCGGGACTGATCCCTCTTCATCTACGTATTCTGCAGGAAGCAGCAATACAATCCGTCAAGGTTTTGAAAAAAACCTTTCATCCTATTTGATGAACTTTTCACACCATTGCACTATGAACAACCCTCACAACATTTGGATGTGCATCCAGTCCTTCAAGGAACAGGACTTCGGATTTTCCTTAAGGACGTAACACTGCCACCTATCCCAAGCATTCAATATTACACTGATGGATCTAAAATAGATCAACAGACAGGCTGTGCCCTTGTAGCCTTTCATAATGGTCAGTCAATTTATCAGTGGCTGGGTCATCTCCATGGAAATAATAGTGTATTTCAAGCGGAGGCCCTAGCCATCCTCAAAGCAGTTCAACACTGTAAAACAAGTGGTGCTATGGAGGCAATAATTATCACTGATAGTCTTTCGTCGCTTCAAGCGATTCAAAACCCCAGACATTCTTCTTCGCTTATCTCGGACATCCAATGTGAACTTCGTAATCAAGTGGGAAATAACATCACGCTAGCTTGGACTAAGGGCCATGCTGGGGATCACGGTAATACTTTGGCAGATAAGTTAGCCAAATCAGCTGCCGAAAATACCGATGCCGAGGCTGAAGAAGTGATTCTTAAGTGGCCAACATCTCACTTAAAACGAGCTCTTCTTTTTTAAAAGTTATATCCCAATGGCAACTAGAATGGGATACTGATGAAACCGGTCGACGAACGTACAATCATATTACGTATGTGGATCAATGTCGTCAGATAACAAATCATCAACTAGTAAGATATATCTCGGGGCATGGTCCATTTCCAAGCTACTTTTACAAGCATGGAATTGCAAATAGTGAATATTGTGTCTGCGGAACTCTAGGCATACCTGAACATTATATTACTACATGCCCGTTAACGGAGGAATTTCACATTCCTTTCCCTGTGGATAATCAACTAGCATTTAGTAAATTTTTAATTAAGCAGAAGTACCTTATCAGAAAACTCTCAAAAATTATGGACATTCTCCACAGTTATGGATCTGATCTATGTCAGGTTGTCTAATGTTAATGGTTTCGTCCTGTTTTCATAATACAACTGTATTCTTGTACACTCCAGTTGCATTCTTGTCTGTTTACATAGTGTTTTCATAATACAATTGTATTTTTTTGTACACTCCAGTTGCATTCTTGTCTATTTACATATTATAACTATATTCTTTCTTTTTAATAGTCCCAGTATTGTTACAAATATTATTAAAATTGTATTGTATTTTAAATGCACTATAAGA